ACCTATAAGCCATGCTATTTCTCAAGGATATACATTTGCATGGATTGAAAGGCCACGTGGAGACCAAGGCCTTTATTATAATAGCAGAATAGCAGGTACTTCATCGAGCAACTGAAGGGCTTTTAAATGATCCTCACATCTTATCTCTCAGTCCACAAGTCACTGCACTACATGTTGCATCAGCCTTGGCCTGGGTACAACATAGGATCTCTTCCAACATGATCTGCTCATCTCTGACATAACATTTATTACTAATTTTACTTTTACTTTACACACTCTGCTTTTTTATGATCATGGATTTCACTTCCCCAAAGTCAATCTGATTGGCTTGCTCCAAATGAGATTTCTATAGGAATATATGCCAAATAAGAGGAATTTTTGTTAAGTAATGAGAAGTATACCAGTGGAGCATAATGTCAAGACCATAGGTCTCTCTCGCTTTTTTTTTTTTTTTAACTCAGAAGCAAAGACTTTATGTGGAAAAACAGGCAGATTGAACTGTATAGAATTAGAGGATGTCTTGAGATCTACCAATTGTCAAAGAATGTGACTCGTCTGTAGTGAGGCTAAAGCAACACAGCTTGGAAAGTAGGCTGTTTTAGTTATCAGAAAGACACAGAAAGCACAGAACATCTGTCAGTTGTCCAAGTGACCTCATGTGCTTTCAGATAGCTGCTAGCCCTGCTCTAGAACTTAGAATAAGAAGCAGGTCGCTGGCCCAGAAATCTAAGAAAAAATCTGTTGCCATCGAGTTGATTCCAACTCATAGTGATCCTAAAGGACAGAGTAGAACTGCCCCATAGGGTTTCCAAGGAGCAGCTGGTGGATTTGAACTGCCAACCTTTTGGTTAGCAGCCAAGCTCTTAACCACTGCTCCACTGGGGCTCCAATTCTAAGAAAAAGATTAAGTGTAAACAACAGGAAATGAGTCAACAGGGCCGATTTCTTCTTACCCTGGAAGGCAAGTATCCTCTACAGAAGACTGTGTGATGTGACAGTATTATCAGTCCTCAGGCTTGATAAAGCCCTTTCCAGTGACGTCTCAGTGAAGGATTCCATTGAGGATCTGATGTGGAGCTAGTAATCAGTCGTTATATCATGCCACTGTATGGCAGGACTCCTTCAGCTTTCCAATGTTATTCTTTGACTCGCTTTATCAATGCTCTAAAATTACTTAACACAGCACCTTTTTTTTTTTTTTTAACCACCAGGATGTTTGCCATTGTTTAGTTACAGAGAGAACAACTAGAATTCTGACAGGCCTGCCTATAGATATTGTATGTATGAAGACTTTAAGTTTTCTTTCTCTTTGTTCTAAATCTTGTGTTCATTGTGCTTTGGTAAAGCACCTGCGTCTTTACTCAGCACAAATACTAGCCAGATTATTTTTCAGAATTTCACTATGGTGTTCCTCTAGCTCACTGCCCAATGATTTCAGGTGGTATGGACAATGAAGAAATTGATCAATCTGTGGAGTGGTACCAGCTTTTTTACAATCTATTCTGTACGTGTGTGCCTGGAATGCTATTTGTTTTATTCAAAACAAAAAAATATTCCAGGAGTTATTCTGCTGATAGTCCACCCCTTCAGATAAGCACGTTTCTTCCCATCAGTTACCCATTTTTTATAACCAGAAAGAATACAAGAGAAAAACACATCAGGCATGGTCTGGGAGAGTTCCTGGCACTGGGCCTCCATTTTCCCAAAGGACCCGTCATGCTCTTCCGTGCATAGATGGTCTCTCCACTCCAGGAAGTCCCAAAAGAGCAAGACCATATGTCTGTTAAGCATCTATTTGTTAGATTTAAGAGGCAGTTTCCTCTTTGCTGAGAGGTAAATAGCCCCCTTTGCTTCAAACTAAGCTTCCATCCTGTGATCTCTTCCTACCAACCTAACATCAAATAATTTTAAAATCGTCCTTAGAGGACCAGGGACGGCTGTCCTGCCCTCCATCCAGTCTTGAATAATCCATCTAGTTGCAAAGAGGATAAGATGTAAATGACAAAGGATGAAACTATACCCTGTCCATTAGAAAATGTAAGAGATAAAATTGTGCCTGGCAGAAGTAAGCTATATTATTCTGCCATCTAAATGTCAATGACAAGAACACATGTCAATGATGAGATAACGTAAGTTGTAAATCATATTCCTTCACATTTTTATGATACAGCCAAATACATACAAGTCTTTTTTTTCCCTAAAAGAATGGCATTAGATTCCTGTAAAGTAATAGCTTATCTGTTAAGGTTTAGGCTGAGATCTTGTAAAATATTGCTCCAGTGAATCTCAAATTATTAATTAATCTGATAGTAGGGGCAAAAGCCACAATATCTCTGTAGTAGATAGGGAGGCATAATCTTTTAAGGTGTTATGCCTTAGAAAAAATAGGAAGAATTATTGACAGAGAGCTATATAATCTTCACCATATATCTTTCATCAAAATGAAGTGATAAAAGAAGAAGAAGGGAAACCAGCCAAGGTAACAGGATGATTTTTTTTCCTTAACCCACTGCTCATAGCAGGTAAATGTTCAAGTCTCAAAGGTATGGCCAACAAATGCTCTATGGAAAATAAACTTTGAATGCAAAGAAAAACCAGATCCTAATAACAGCTTCATTTTCTACTGGAAAGTCACCAAGAGCAAAGAGGAAATGACCCAGTTTTATAGGACTCTCTCCATCAGAAAGTGCTGAAGCTGCAGCTGAGACAATTGCCAACACTGAAATTGTCATTTCCCTCCCAAGATTAGCCTTGATGCAGAGAATGGATCAGTATGGATTGCCCTGCTCTGAAAGACCACTAGACAAACTGCACAAGTCATCTGTTATCCTCCAGGTTGACAACTACGTTGCCATTTTGAGTAGTCTTTAAAGAGATCAGAAATCATTTTCCTCAACAGTTTCATGGGGATGTTCATCTCTTCTCTGTGGTGCTGGGAGCAGTGGTTTTACCTACATCCTTGGAAGGATTACAGTCTAATTTAGTGGGAGATTCTTTGGGTGCCCATTAACTTTGAGGGCACAGTTTACAAATGATGATAGAACTGAAGTCCCAGCGTATGAAGACAGGCTCTCAGAGCAGGACGAAGCAGAGTTTCCATCAGCAACTGGATGCTTTCCTCAAACACATACACACCCAGAGCAATGTTCTCTAAGGAAAGGAAAAATCCACCACACAGAGTACTTCAGAATGTTTAATAAGTTGCTATAATGGTTTGTACCACAAATCAATCAAGTAGATATCTTATCTTTGCTTTAATAGTGCAAAAATGAATCATCAGCAGGACATACTATTTAAGCACCTATTTGTGCTTCTCTGTAGGATGTGATACTAAGGATATGAAGACCCACTAGGAGTTTATAATCCTAAGGCAAAGAGCACTGTGACAGAGACAAATAATGGAGAATATTATCAAAGCAAAGAGGTTAGAAATGGGTAGACTTGTCTTCATAAAACAGTTTCCTAGAGAAAACAGAGTCAACATTTTGGTGTAAGCTTGAAGTATCCACCTCTTAGGACTTACCTAAAAACACAGGTAGGAAAATCATTTATAGCTGAAAATAGTCTTAAATGTTAAGTTGACTTTGATATGTGATCTGCAGTTTGAGTCCAAAATAAAATATTTTCTGCCCACTTGTGATACACAACTAATTCTCACTAATGAAATTTGATATCTCTAGTGTAGCAACAGTAAACATATGGCATAGATTGAATTTTGTTGGGAAATATGAGCTCAGAAACAAGGTCTGTGGAATTAGCTAGAGAGATCAGTTTTGACTTTAACTCAGATTTTTCCTCCACTGCTTAATAATCATGAAAATATGATCAATTTCTTAACTAATGAAGAAATACCTTAATAAATGTATGTTATAACCCAAAAAAACAAAATACACACACACACACGCCAGACAGACATACTTTTCCCTTTGAAACACTGCTTCTATTACTTGAAGAAAACACAACTATTATTTTTTTTAAATAAAGCATAGCATCAAATGTCAACTCATTAGTGTGGTGACTTGTAAAAATGTGGCTGACTTCCTGGGTACATGGTGTCTGAATCCTTACCCTTGTTACATTCAATCAAAAGGAGAATGAGGAATGAATACTTTGTTGCTGTGAATCTTCTTTTCCCCTGCAAAAGGATGACTCATATCCTGATATTTGGACTTCTCTGATGTGAAATATATAAAGGTTTTGGTGTTTGAACAAGCCATGAAAACAACATATAGCACAGGTTACTGGAGCACTAAATACCAGACCCAAAGTCCATCCTCAGGAGCTGGGAAACGCTTCCTTTCATGTCCACGTGCAGGAGGCAGCCAGCCAGCAATGTCCTCAGGACAGCCCCCTGTGCCCATGACTGGCTTATTTACATCCTTGCTGCAATAGCCATTTGCCTTTCTCCCATCCCACATAAAGATGGCAGCTACTTTAAAACCCCCACGATCCTGATCCTGGCCAGCAGAGAATATCTACCTAGAAGTGAGAACAGAACAGCAACAAAGAACACACGGAGGAGTTTTTGTTTTTTTTAACGTGCTTCAGAGAATTACTGTCAAGCCCACGTTTCAAGTTTAGAAGCACTAGGTAAAGGGGTGTGGCTGAGCTCCTAGGGACCCTCCCACACTAAAGACAATACAGACTCCTCCGCTCATTTTTTTTCGACTACCAATCAGCTACTCTCATGGAGTCAACTCTGACTCATGGCGACCCCATGTGTCAGAGTAGCAATGTGCTTCATAGGGTGTTCAATGGATGACTTTTCAGAAGTAGACCACCAGGTCTTTCTTCCGAGGCACCTCTGGATGGACTCGAACTATCAATCTTTTGGTTAGCAGCTCAGAGTGTTAAATGCCACCCAGGGACTCTTTTTTTTTTTTTCAATTAAAGACATTTAAACAAAAAAATCTCTCCTCACTTCAATGAGGTGTCCCTTCCAGCCTGTCAGGATGTCAGTGTGCCAAAAGAAAAAAGGAAAAACAGAGCTTTCCACTTACTCTTTTTCTGTCACAATGTAGCCGTATTCCTCGTCATCAGAAGATTTGACTTCTAATTGCAGGCCTGTGCCTGGGTGCTGTTGAGATCCTGCTTGAAGGCTTTCATCTTGCTTCAAAGCCCCTGGAATCCAGTTTTGATCATCCCCAAGCCCATCCACTCTGGGCTCAGAATTTGGTTTCTTATCAAATAGCTCTTTGGAGTAAGTCTGACTCTTGACATTTTCAACCCCAATGTTCTCTTCTGAAGACTCAGGGTCCTCTGATTTCTTGATATCCGTTTTAAAGGACTTGTAAAGAGGAAGAGCTTCAGGCAAGTGTTGGGGCTTGTGCTCCTTCAAGAGGTCCCCAAGTTTGACATTTAAGCGTTTGACCTAGTAGAAAGAAAAAGTCACATATGATGATGCCTATGAGACAGGTTTGTTGACATGAATGAATCTAAAGAATATTTATGATAAAAATCATCCATATGGTACAATAATAGGCAACTTAAACTGAAAACAGTTGATGAAGGCAAAACGTTTATAGTTAATATTTAGAAGTATATCTAGATGAGAAATATTCAGCAAAATGGAAGATGCAGGTATTATGTTATCAGTATCACTTAAAGAGTTCATTCTCTCTCTCTCCTGCTCTATTTCCCTGTGTCTCTGTTTCTACACACACACACACACACACGTACACACACAAATGTCTTCCTAAAGAATCTGATTTTGTAAAGTAAATACAGGTTCCTTGCTTCTATATTTTGAAAAATTGATTCTGAGACTGCATCCTTCTAGAAACAATGATAAACAACAAAAATAGTAATAATTGAACTTTTCCAATACACAAAGGCACTGTACTAAATACTCTGTCTGTATTAACTCACTGAATCCTCAGAATAACCCTATGAGTTAGGAACTGTCATCCTCCCATTTTGCAGAAAGCACAAAGAATGTTAACCCACTTGTGAAAACATCACAGGGATGCATAATTGCTGTCTCACAATATATAGGGACTATTTGGTCAAGTCTTGGAATGCTCATACCCCATCCCAATACCCGTTTCCTAGAAAACAGTCTCCTCAGAACCACTTAATTGATCGTTTAAAAAAAAAAAAAAAAACTCAATTTCTGGTTTCATTGTTTTTTCTCTCTTTTTTCTATTTATTTCTGCTCGGTCTTTGTTATTTCCTTTCTTCTGGTAGCTTTGGCGTTAGTTTGCTCTTCTTTTTCTAGTTTCTCAAGTTGTAAATTTAGGTTACTGATTCGAGGTCTTTCTTCTTTTATAGTGTGTTTACCCCTATAAAGTCCCCCCACCCCAGCACTGCCTACACTACATTCCATAAGTGTTACTATGCTGTCCTTTCATTTTCATTTGACTTGCATATATTTCTGATTTCTCTCTTGATTTATTCCTCAACTCATGGTGGTTTAATAGTGTGTTGTTTAATTTCCACATATTTGTGTATCTTTTAATTTTCCTTCTGTTATTAATTTCTAGTTTCATTCCACTGTGGCCAGAGAAGATGCTTTGCAAGACTTCTTTTGTGACCTAGAATATGGTCTATCCTGGAGAATGATCCATGTTTACTGGAGAAGAATGTGTTTTGTCGGGTGGCGTATTCTATACATGTCTGTTAGGTCTAGTTGGTTTAGAGTGTTCAAATCCTCTACTTCCTTTTTTATCTACTTTCTAGATGTTCTGTCCATTATAGAAAGTGGTGTATTGATGTCTCCAACTATTATTGTAGAATTTTCATTACTCCCTTCAATTTTGTCAGTGTTTGCTTCATATATTTTGGGCTCTGATGTTAGGTGCATATATATATATTCATAATTGTTACATCTTCTTGATGAATCAGCACTTTTATCATTATATAATATCCTTCTTTGTCATTTATAACAGATTTTGACTCAAAGTGTATTTTATCTGATATCAATATACCACACCAACTCTCTTTTGGTATTATTTGCATGGACTTTTTTTTCCATCCATTCACTTTCAACCTATTTATGTCTTTGGGCCTAAGATGTGTCTCTTGGAGAGAGCACACAGATGGATCACATTTTCTTTTTCAATCCATTCTGCAACTCTCTGTCTTTTGACTGAAGAGTTTAATCTACTTACATTTAAGGTAATTACCTATAAGAAAGGAATTACTTCTGCCATTTTTATAATGTGCACGAGGGATATATCCTTTCAGCAAACTTATTCAATCTGTACGCTGAGCAAATAATCCAAGAAGCTGGACTATATGAAGAAGAAAGTGGCATCAGGACTAGAGGAAGACTCATTAACAGTCTGCAATATGCACATGATACAACCTTGTTGCAGAAAGCAGGGAGGACTATAAAGCACTTACTAATGAAGATCAAAGACTACAGCCTTCAGTATGGATTACACCTCAACATAAAACAAAAATTTTCATAACTAGCCCAATAAGCAACATCATGATAAATGGAGAAAAGATTGAAGTTGTCAAAGATTTCATTTTACTTGGATCCACAGTCAACACTCATGGAAGCAGCAGTCAAGAAATCAAACGACGTACTGCATTGGGCAAATTTGCTGCTAAAGACTTCTTTAAAGTGTTAAAAAGCAAAGATGTCACTTTGAGGACTAAGGTGGGCCTGACCCAAGCCATGGTATTTTCAAGTGCCTCATATATATGTGAAAGCTGGACCATGAATAAGGAAGACCGAAGAAGAATTGCTGCCTTTGAATCATGGTGTTGGTGAAGAATATTGAATATACCATGGACTGCCAGAAGAATGAACAAATTTGTCTTGGAAGAAGGACAGCCAGAATGCTCATTAGAAGGGAGGATGGCGAGACTTCCTCTTAAGTACTTTGGACATATTATCAGGAGGGACCAGTCCCTGGAGAAGGACATCATGCTTGGTAAAGTAGAGAGTCAGCAAAAAAGAGGAAGACCTTCAACGAGATGGATTGACACAGTGGCTGCAACAATGGGCTCGACATAGCAAAAATTGTGAAGATGGTACACAGAACTGGGCAGTGTTTTGTTATGTTTTACACGGGATCACTATGAGTCGAAACCAACGTGATGGCACCTAACAACAACATAGTTTTCCTGATTTCCTTTATTTCTTTGTCCAAATTTTCTTTCAATCCTCTGAGCATGTTCAGTACCTAAAAAAAAAAAAACTCTTCTAATCTTCTCAGTATCTAGGTTCTCATACAGACAATTTCTCTGCCCTCATCTTGTTATTCTGAATGGGCGATCATTTCCAATTTCTTTGTATGTCTTGTGACTTTTTGTTGAAACTGGGGCATTAGAATATTTCAATGTGTTAGCTCTGAGCATGTGTATGGCCTTCTCAATTCACCCACATACACAGTGCTTTCAAAATTGCTAATTTATGCAAAAAACTCTCAGGTGGTCACAGTTTTTGCTCACTGCTCCCTCCCCCACCTTGTAAGAGTTCCGATTCAGACAAAGCTAGGGTTCAGTTCTTCAGGCAGCTCCCAGACAGATTAAAAGAGACACACCAGATCAGAACAGTCTGTCATCAAAATCCGCTCTAATCCCTCCAGAGACAGAGATCAGGGATTCTTCTTTGTGAACATGAAAGCCATGGTCCACCTCCACTGTAGCCACCTGGCTGCTGTGCTAGGAGGGTGAAAGGTGGTAGCAGTAGATAAATAAGTTTTCCTACTGTTTAAAATCATCTTTTTCTTGTTTCATTTTGTGGTTAGTTGCTATAATCTTCCACCTACTTTTTCAGAGTTCCTATAGGTTGAGATGACAGATTTATAGTTGCTTCTCTTGGTGTTCATGTGGGAGGGTCAGGATATTAGACCTGCTCATGCTGCCGTCTTCCCAGAAGTCTATCCCACATGTTTTGATGGATATTTAAAGTAATAATCATTCATGTTTTCTTCTAGTACTTGCTAACATGCATTGAACCATAAATCCACTAAGATAGTATGATAAAAGAATTACTAACTAGAAATTATTTTTTCCATTTCACAAATAGAGCTTCATAAAAACACAAAAATATTGTCATTTCTTGTTGCAAATTGATTTTCTGCATCTTTAAGACTTCTATTAATGACCTAAGGTTCTTAAATAGGAAAAACTAATAAACTGTTCAGTGAAAGGGTATTATCTGTAATTAAGTCCTTTTTCAAATTTCTTTCTAAAACCAAATTGCAATAATGGAAATGTCCTATAATCTGTACTATCCAATATGTTAGTCATTAGCCACATGTGACTAATGAGCACTTGAATTATGGTTAGCACAACAAAGGGACTAAAATTTTAATTCAATTTAAATTAATTAAAATTTAGATTAAATATCCACATGCAGCTAGAGGTTACCAAATTGGTCAGAGCCAAGTCTAAATTATCTAGAACCAGTAAACATCCCTGTATTAAATAAAACTTGAAGATCGGTGTATACAATGTGATATTAAGTATAAAAATTGGACATATAATGTTATCATTTGATATCTCTGGTTGTGGAAATTCTAAGAAATATTAATATTCTTCTTTGTAAAAAACATGCTTTTCAAATTTCTACAATGGGTAAATATTAGTTTTATAATCTGAAAATAAATATTATTATGCACATGAATACACACAGTTTAGTAAGTACAGTTTATACTTTTTCTCTGTTTGGAAACTATGAGGGTTTTTTTCCATGCTTTGCAGGAAAAAAACAAAGCAAACTTTGTATTTCATAAAAGTTCCTAAACCATTGCAAAAAAAAAATACTGACACCACTCTAGGTTTAATTTAAACATTTAGCAGCATTCTATCTTACCTCTTCATAAATTTTATCATCATCTTCTTGTACTCTGGTATCTGTAAAAGACATGAGCATGAGCAAAATCTTTGTCAAGAATGTCATTACAAGGTGTCACAGCATGTAAAAAGATAACCACATACAATCCTTCTTTACAGAAGATTAAGCATAATGATTTTGGTCTAATTTCTACTATAAAGTAAACCTATTCTGTTTATAGCATAAATAATAGTGTTCCATAAACTTCATGAAATAGGTAAGCGATAGACATGAAGTCAATTATAAATTACATTACTCAGTTCTATGGCTTTATGTATTATATTTAGTGGTAGCTTGCAGCTAGAAAAATCCATTGTACCTAGCAGCAGTTAGTAGTTACAAAAAACTAAACTGAAGCATCTAGCCCAAACCACTTAACAGTTAAGATGGCTTCAGATTTCATCGACTCAGGTTATTTCAGTGGTGGTCATTTCTCTCCAAATAAATATCATACATACAATGCCCAATGGCACAGAACTCATTGTATACTCCTCAAGCCAGGACAAGAGCTCCTCGGGGATAGCAGCCACATTCCAGAGACTTTCATATCCTTCCTAGTCCACAGGTTAGGTATTAATTATTTTTAATTGCTGATTGACTAGTTAGCATAAAACATTGTTACGTGGCGTTTCAGTATATTTTCCTACATTATATTCATCAGTCAAGTAATGCTTCCAACCTCCAAGCAAGCCTTTGTCCCAACCCATAGAGAAAACAGGGACAAATCTGCATTTGTGTTTTTGGCACATGTCTTTTGCATGCCTACTATGTGCAAGTACTTTTTTTGGATTCTTTAATGTAGCTCCAAATAATCTGAAAAGTAATTAGGAAATAAGGAAGGTCAATTTTCAAAGAATTGGCTGCCTCTGAGGTGTGGTCTCTGCTTCCCCCCAGGAGCAGCCTCGGAGGGTGGATGTGGGCTTCAAGCAGACATTTGAATGAACACTTTTCACTGTATTATTCAAATATTTGACAATATTCACTCTCATTATCCAAACAAAAACACTTTCTCTCACTACTATTCTTTTTCTATATTTGAACCTCAGCAGAGAGGAATTAGCACACCTCCTTACGGAGAGCAATTTGCCTTTCAACATAATTGCTCTGGCAGGCTTAGCCTGTTAAGAAAGCTTTTAGAGGCAAAGTTCAAACACATAAAAATCATTAATACAAATCCCCATCTCCCCAGCAGAAAGGATGCATTAAGGCTTTGGTAGGCCTGCAGATCTCTCAACAGCTCTGAGGCCTCATCTCTTCCCCCTAAATGTCTACTACAAATGTAAATGATCCAAGAAGCTAGAAGTTTCACCTTGTAAACTATCCTCAGCCTTCTTGTCATTTTCATAAAGTGCTGCTTCTGAGCTGTCTGCCTGTTCTCTTGGTTTTCCTTCGACCTCTTGTCCGGTACTTTCCTGATCCTCTTGTGTATCTCCACCTTGCATGGCATCAGCAGTCACACTGGCCATCTCATCGAGCTCCAGGAGACTCAGGTCGTCCACTCTGACCTGGTGCTTTCTCAGGTCCTTCAGGAGATTCTGAATAAATGCTTCTAAAGGGCACACATAAAAATAAACACAAATAAATTACGCATTGAAATATCCGAAAGAAGTGATGGCAGGCCTGATTGCAAGGAAATATATCAGGTGTACCCAAATATTTAGAGGCAACTTTCCCATCAGTGTCGAACCTAGTGTGGGTGCTCAGTAAATACTTGTATTTGTTGAATTTAAATCACACATAAAACTCACGCCATTACCATAGTTCAGTATCTTTAAAAAGTTAACAAAGAAGTAGAAAACCCACAGAGAACTATGGACAAACTCATTAGTCTGATTAAGAGGACAGAAAGGGATACCTTTGTTATGGATTGGATTGTGTCTGCCAAAATATGCATTTAAGTCTTAACCCCTATGTCTGTAAATATGACCCTGTTTGGAAGTAGGTTTGTTTTTGTTGTTGCTGTTATGTTAGGATTCTGGGTGGTGCAAGCAGTTAGCAATTTGCTGTTAACCTAAAGGTTGGCAGTTCGAACCCCCCAGAAACTTCACAGAAGAAAGGCCTGGTGAACTGTTTCTGTAAAGATTACAGCCAAGAAAACCTTATAGAGCAGTTCTGCTCTGTAACATATGGGCTCACCATGAGTCAGAGTTGACTCGACAGCAACAGGTTTTGGCATTTTTATTTTGTTATGTTAATGAGGTGATAGCAGAGTAATAAACATGTCTAACTAGTATCTTATCAAAAGAGCAAAGCAGACATAGAAACTCGCACATAGTAGGAAGACAGATGCAAGAAACACCAAGGAACTCCTGAGGCTACTGACAAGGGAGGGCCCTCCCTAGAGCTGATTTAGACTTCTAGCCTCCAAAACTGTGAGACGACAAATTCCTGGTCTTTAAAGCCTCTTACTTGTGGTTGTTTTTGTAATGGCAGCACTAGGTAACTAAGACAATCTCTGATAAAATAACTGGAATTATTTAACCAGGATATGAGAACAATTGAATAATTGTGTTATAGTCTTTCAGTTATAAGGAAATGATAAGCTATTTCCATCTCACTTAGGAAAAAGAGAGATAATGTATCTAAAAGAGTGGCATAGTGCTGGGCAGACCATGAATGGCATGTAATAACCTACCAAAGCTGATAGTCATCACTTTTCCCTCAATTTGTTGTTGTTATTGCCTATAGCTAGTAGATGAAAGCCTCCTATACTCTTTGGTCATCGTGACCGATAAATTCTCCTATATACAATATAACTAGCCTCAATCTATACGTGTGTTTTGTCCAAGAGTTTATTTGTAAGTCAAAGTGAAACTGAGAAGGTATTTCCTCTTTGAAAGAGTGTTGAACATAGGTTTGGTTACAAAGCCAGCTCATCAAATCTTCACCTTAAATGTAGCTACTACAGGGATGACAGAAATTACATTTATTCAGGGACAAAGGGACTTCAGAAGTGTAACAGTCTGTGCTTCAGTGCCAGCACTGAGAGTGGGGACTCTACCACCTCAAAGGCAGTGTGATAGCCCTTCCATAAGGGGCCACAGGAATGCAGAGGCAGGAAGAGGCACTGGGGATGGGGAACTGGGTCCACAGCAGATGACCACTTCCCTCACAACTTCCATCTATCTTCAGTCCCTGCAGCAAGCTTCAGTTTTTTAGGCTTTTACAAGGAAGTTTCCAGCTGTGAACAATGCAAAGCACACAGGACATAAAAATATCAAACAAGGGGTAAGAAGAGTCCCTTTTTCAAAGAGATTCTTAAAATATAAGCTATGTATGCTGTTAAATGCTATATACATTGTGGGAAAGTCTTCATCCTCTTCATCTTTGTCCTTTAGACACCTGTCCATTCCTTCTCTACTTCACCACAAACCCTTCCCAGTCCTTCCAATGCCACTCCCTCCCTAGGCAAAGACTAGGACCACATTGTTGATAAAAGTTTGGTTTGGGGGTCTAAAGGACTGAGGGATCTCTAGCCACATTTCAAACAGAAATCTAGCAAATTCAAACATAAACCTAATATAAACCAATTTATATATAATTTGAATATATTATATTCAAATATAAACCCAATAAAACCAATGTCACTCTCTTTATGTATGATTTTTGTTTGTTCATTTATTCATTTTACAATGAAAATATATTACTTTTATAATCAGAGAAAATACAATAGAAATATTTTCCCATGGCAGGTGAGAGTCTGTCTCACTGGGTACATTATTTTTGGCATTTCTCCCAAGTAACTGGGAGTATTGAGAAAGTAGCAAAGACAATGAGTGATGTTAAGTCTTGGGGTTGGTAGTCTAGAAGGGATCTTAGAGGTAAAGGTGGAAGAAATGGGGGAATGGTAGAAAAAAGGAAGTTCCCATACCCTGTTTTCATGAAACATCAGTTTATCTTTTATTTATAGTTGTTATAGTTTCATCAATGAATTTAAGAACATAAATCTTTTAAAGAACATAATTTTGCTCCTGACCATAATGAAGTAACTGGAACAGACTTGTCCTCCCATGACATACAACTATTAAAATGGACAAAATATATATAGCAACTGTTTTCAGATATTGAAACACCATCAGAGCAGCGTATGATCATTGAGGAAACTCTAAATTTGCCCTGGTTTTACGCCTGGGGCATCTCAACCACAGTGCCAGGAAGGGGAGCATGATAATCTCACTGAACTGAGGAGGCACTGATCAGAGTTGGGGCTGGTGAAGTGACTGTAATTTGAAAGACAAAGTACAGTAGAATGGAGAGCTATGTCAAGGAATGCCACAGAAATCTGTGTATAGGTTCACTATGGATCCTTGGCCAACACATGGCTGCCCTATACAGGGTGAGACTACTTGAGGCTTAACAGAGAATTGCTGTTACTGGAATGAAAGCTGAAAAAAGATCCCAGAGGGCATGTAGTGTTGGAAAAGACTAAAGTTCTTCTCCAGCCACCGAGGAGAAACCTTGCTGAGCACTTCTAGCATTTAGTTGAAACCCATAGAAGCTGTGTTTTAAGAGGAAGGGCCACCAAAATAGACCAAATCTAACAAAATATAAAACTCAGGCTGATAGGATCAAAAGGCTCCTTCAGTAAGGTAACTGTCTGCCAGAAATTAAATACAAACAAATAAAAAATTCAACACCCTTTAAAGGAAGATGACATAATCTAAATTCCCTGCAAAGTACCATTTACAATGGCCAGCATACAATAAAAAAGCAATAGACAGAGGCAGAGCTAACATGGTGCCCTAGAAAGATGCACCATGCAGTCCCCCTGCAGCAAAGAGCCAAAAAAACTAAGCAAAACAGATACCAACATCAGTTCTGGAAACCGGAGCAACAAATGGAGGAATAAAGAATTAGATCACACAACAAATAGAAGAAGAAACTGACAGAAAACAAAGAATGAGAGATATGGAATGGAGGTCCCCTGCCAACTAATGCAGCACAGCATCACCATCTTGAAACACAGCCAGCAACGAGCCTGGATAAGGAGTACAGGAAGGCAACTTCATGGAGCTCCCAACAGGAGACAGAGCAGCCGGTAACCAGAGAAACATGCTTTCCCACCCCACATCCTTCTGGTGAATAGAAGCAAGAAGCCCCTATCCCAGCAGACCCCACTGCCAGGGTCCACAATATGAGCCCCCTATGGGGGTCCACCTTGCTCCCTCCCACCACACGGCTTTAATTTTTTTCTTTCTTTCTTCCTTTTCTTTCTCCCTCTCACCCAGCTGGATACGCCAGCTCCACCCATTCTGGCCAGCTCCCACAGCACCATTTCTTTTATTTCATTGTTTTCTTTCTCCCTCCCACATAGTCCCATATACCACCTCCCCTCCCCACGGCCCCTGGCTCCACCCCACACCCACTTGCTGGCCTCTACTGTTGCACCATATTTTTTTCTCTTTCTTTCTCCTTCCCACCTAGTTCCATATGCCACCTCTCCTACCTTCCTGCAGGCCCCTGCCATGCTGCCATGGCTAGAGAGTCACCAGCCCACTGCCACCCCAGGTCCACTCTGCCTCCATCTACCTACCCCCACCATACCACCATTTTTTTCTTTCTTTTCCTTCTTTTCTGTCTCCCTCCCACCTAACCCCATACACCACCTCTCTCCCCTTCCCAGCAGCCACCGCCCACACCACCACAGGTACACAACCACTTGCCTGCTGCTGTCCCAGATCCACCACAGCAGCCATTTCTTTTCTTTCTCCCTCCAACCTAGCCCCATATGCCACCTCTCCTCCCTGCCCACTGACTCCTGGGTCCACCCCACCCCCACTCGCCAGCCCCAACTACACTATTTTTTTCCTCTTTCAGTCTCCCTCCCACCTAGCCCCATATGCCACCTCCCTGCCTTCCTACCAGCCCTTGGGTCCACCCTGCCCCCACACATCAGCTTTTGCCATGCTGCCTATTTTTCTTTCTATCTCTCTTTTCTTTTCATCCTCCCTCCCACCTAGCCCCATACAGCACCACCCCCCCTTCCCACTGGCCCCCACTGTGCCACAGAACTAGAGAGCCCCCAGTGCTCAGGTCCACGACTGCACAGGGCCTGCACTGCCCCCCACCACTTGACCAGCTGCTGAATGGTGGGAAGCAATCCAATGCCACTCTCTGATCAACACCCTGCCCATCTAGCAAGGGGCTGTGAATGCTCCCACACCACTGGACCACCATCAGTAGGCAGGCAGTGCCCGCCAAGTCTGCCCTCAGCCTCCTCGACAAACAGGCATGTACTGAAGTGGGCTTGCCTTGCCTGCTGCTGCCCTGCACACCCAGATAAGATGGTGAGACCTATCATGCCCACAGACAAGCAAGCAGCAAAGCATGATTGGCCCCTCGCCATGACAAAACCAAGGAAAAAATAGACAAAATCATGGAAAATGCATACAAAACCAACAAAAACATAGTCAAAATCAAGGAAAACACAGACAAAAGAATAGAAAAATTCAGGGAAATAATACAAGAACAAAACATCAAATTAAATAAACAATTAGAAATCATACAGAAACAGCAACTAGAAATCCAAAAGATAAAGAAGAAAATTTC